AAGTGTAGGAGAAAATAAATCCACTACGGGTTGGATATTTACTCTTGGAAGAGGTGCAGTTTCTTGGAAGTCTAAGAAACAAACTTACATTACTCACTCAACAATGGAATCGAAGTTTGTAGCATTGGCCGAAATCAGAAAAGAGGTTGAGTGGCTAAAAGATTTAGTATATGAAATACCATTTGATATAAAGGATATTTCATCAATACCTATCTTGTGTGATAGTCAACCTACTCTTGCTCGAGCTTATAGCGAAGTATATAATGGAAAGTCTAGACACATGAGTCTAAGACATGAGTATGTAAGGAAATTAATCAAGCATGGAATAATTTCTCTTACATTTGTTAAATCTAGTGAGAACTTAGCGGATCCATTTACTAAACCTCTTACGAGAGAGTTACTAAGATCGACTTCAAATAGGATGGGGTTGAAACGCCTTAAATAAATCCGCCAATGATAGCAATCCTACCAAATTACACTAAACAAGTATATTTAAGTTCAAGGGGTAATAACAAGTCGTTCGATAAGTGGATGAATCTCAACACTATGGAAATTATGAAATCATATCGTTGACGAATAGTGTTGGTTGTTACTGTTAGAGGGTTGAATTATAAATTTTTAATGAAGTTCAGTACGGAGTACAAGTATCTCTAAAAGTAACAAAGATACTGGAAGAACTTCACCTATGTGAACTTCGAGGTGGTGCCGACCTCATTAGAGAGTTGGAGTTTTCTCTCTTTGAAAGTTCAAAGAAATAGGATAAGTGCAAGGCCATATTAGCATTAAGCGGGTTAGAGGAACTTGTGAAATTTAATACTTGTGCGTGTGATTTCATCGGTATTGTCACAAAGAATAATTAGTTCAATGCGTTCTAGCTACCTGGAATTTCGATAATACTTTATGAGATTTACACTACGGTTATATTCAAATCGAAAGATATCTAACTCTTATGCATAAGTGTTGATATTTGATTATATGATAAGAGTTGATTTTGAACAAGTGGGGGATTGTTCGAAATCTTGTTGTTCAAAATCATAATTTGATGGATTATAACGTTTATGTATGGATGAATTTGGAATAGAAAAGAATGAATTTGAAAAAATCTGACTGTTAATTTCAAATTTTGGTAGTTTTCTTGTGAAACAACATACCTTTTTAACATGGTTTTAGTGGTTTTCTTGTGAAACAACATACCTTTTCAACATGGTTTGGAGCCATTTCGTGTGGGAATGATTGAACACTATAAATAAGAGTTAATTATCATTCCAAAATAACTTTTTAATCACCTGAGATCATTCCATTTCATCTTAAATTCTGTCCATTTATTTTGTTCTTCATATAATCACTTTTATATACCTTTTTTCACTTGTTCACTTTGAAGAATCACTTGAAACTTTTGGCGTTCTTCATTTCAGACTTGAATCCTACAAACTATTTGTCATTATAATCCTCAAAAGCTTTGGTGGAGAAGGCAAATATCATTTGAGAACAACGATACTATTTTCGTGATCAAGTCTTATTTCTATNCTCAAAAGCTTTGGTGGATGAGGTAAATATCGTTTGAGGACAACGATACTATTTTCGTGATCAAGTTTTATTTCTATTTTCATTGCTTAAATTTTTTCCAACACGGGCCGAGGTGCAGATGAAGCGGAGGTGATTTCAGAGAAGACATCGTCTGTGTACATTGGGGATAAGACGGTGTCGATTAGGGGCGAGGCGAGAGAATATGTGAGAGGAGCGGGAGAATATTCCGACGGTGGCAACTGGAGAAGAAGAAGAGGGAGCTTAATAGCACCGCTCTCTCCATTTGCTACCTGCTCAGTAGAGAGGAGAAAAAGTGGTCAGTGCAGAAAATTTGGGAGAGTTTCGGGGTTTATGACTGGGAGGGAAAGTTTTGGGACTATTATTAAAGTCTACCCACTTTAAATAACATTAATCTTAGCGCAATACCCCTTGCTTGTTTTGTAGAACATTCCCTAATCTGTCATTTTGGTGCAAAACTCCCCTAAATCATTCAAACGTTGCAGAATACCCCTTATTCCCTTTCATCTATATGACTATATCCGTTAGTTTACCCGTTAAAAATATTTAACATGGCCAAAATGAATTTAAATTCAAAGAATATTAATGTCTCTTCAAATTCAAAATACTCACTTATTGCACCATTTATTTGAGATACTGACTGAGGGAGAAGCCAACAAGCAATCGTGGCATGGAAACTTAGGAATCGATCAAAAAAATTCAAAATCAGCAATCATTTTTCACAGTTTTGTTCACTAGAGAAGTATCTGCAAACTATTATCTTGTATTCTACTATTATGCAATTTTTTGTTTTTTGTTTTTTTGACTCTATTGGTTTGGATGATGTTTCGTGCTAGATTAAGGTATGTATTCTATTTGTTTCTTTTGTTGATTTCTACTTTCTGCTCATTAAGGTATAATTTAGGTTATATTGCGCAGAGTTTACCAATTCAAGATTGTATTCCCTAAAGTTTAACAATTAAATTTTACCATTTTCATGGTTGATTTGCATACAAACGTTTGATCAATAGATTTGTTGTGATTCTTCTTCAATACACGTGAAAAATTAGAATCAACTCATTAGAAAATCAGAAAAATCGAACTTTATATTATAGTAGAACACTTTTTATTACAATGCTACGTGAAATAAAATGCATTAGAGCAATATGATAATGGAAATAATAGCATCTGCTAGTATTCAATATCCTAATAACGACAAAATTAAATGTCTAATTTCCACCATTTACCAACCATATCTATGTAATTCATTTAATGATACTTATTCACAACACTAGTGGTATTAAATAATATTACTCTATTTTTAAACATGCATAATATTGAACCTACAATTTTTATTCACTTTTCAACTTTATATTTCACGTGATTCAATAACTTATATCTCAAAAGCCATTGACAAACGTGGAGTTAATACAAATTATTACCATGTTATTTTCAATTACACAATACAATAAGATATTTTATACATTTTTTCCTTGTCTTTAGAGTGTGTTTGGTAGGGATTTTTGGGGGAAGAATTGATTTTTGAATAGTGATATGATGGGAAATGTGTGGTTGAAAAAGAAGAAAAAAGTATTGATGTGATGGAAAATATTATTTTATTGAAGCATGTGTGGTTGAAAATGAGAATTGATTTACTGTAGAAAATGAGAATTTTTACCAAATAGGCTCTTAATCACTCGTCCTCTAAAAAAAATTATTATTCAAAAAATTATTTTCCTCAATTTCTCTTTATAATGGTCATCAAATGGGGGTAGGATTGGAGGTTGACTTGGGAGCGGGTTTTAACCGTTTTAATTTTGAATAATTGGAGCAAGAATAATGTTATCTAGTATTACTGGTGTTACAACATCAATTTAAGTAATGTTTATGTGATAGACTTAATGAAATGTAGAATTAAGTGATTAATTTAATTATACATCATATTTAATGACACATAAATTGATGTTTTAACACTAGTGATATTAAATAACATTAATCTTAGTGCAATACCCCTTGCTTGTTTTGTAGAATATTCCCTAATCTTTCATTTTGGTGCAAAACTCCCCTAAATCATTCAAACGTTACGGAATACCCCTTAGGCCCTTTCATCTATATCCATTAATTTGCCCGTTAAAAATATTTAACATGGCCAAAATGACTTCAAATCAAAGAATATTTATGTCTCTTCAAATTCAAAACACTCACTTATTGCACCATTTATTTGAAATACTGACTCAGAGAGAAGCCAACAAGCAATCGTGGCATAGAAACTTAGGAATCGATCAAAAAAATTCAAAATCAGCAATCATTTTTCACGGTTTTGTTCGCTAAATAAGTGTCCGCACACTATTATCTTGTATTCTACTATTATGCAATTTTTTTTTTGGCTCTATTGGTTTGGATGATGTTTCGTGCTGGATTAAGGTCCGTATTTTATTTCTTTCTTGTGTTGATTTCGACTTTCTACTGGTTAAGGTATAATTTAGGTTATATTGCGCAAAGTTTACCAATTTAAGATTGTTCAAGATTGTAATTTAGGAGGTATTCCACAAAATAGGCAAATGTTAGCGGTATTATGCCAATTACCCGTTTAATTTATCTGGTAGAGCATTAAACCATTTTGCAAGTTTCTTGTCCTCTTATTTTTTTGCTTCTCATTTTTCTCTTACTGCTTTTTAGTTGTAAATATGTAATATAAAGTTAAATTGTTTTTGAAAATTTAAATTAATGAAAATTTACTTTTAAGAACAATGTTATCTAGCATCAATAGCGCTAGATCATTAATTTATGTGACATTCATTTAATGATACTTATTCCCAACACTAGTGGTGTTAAATAATATTACTCTATTTTTAAACATGCATGAACTTACAATTTTTATTCACTTTTCAACTTAACTAGGTATAAGCAACGTGCAATGCATGTTTGCTTAGTTTATATTTAATAGTTTTGTTTAAGAATTAATTTGTTATTAATAAAGATGTAAATTTTTTGGTTAAAACTAATTATTGAATTTATCACAAGCAAAGTGATGATACCCACAAAGTCTTGTCAATCCGGAGGCTTTCCCTACAGAACTACCTTATCTTTATTATCAGTTGAAATTACCCGTAATTGGACTTGACTTATTTTATTCTTCTCCCACCACGAATTTTGTTTAGCACGAACGCGAAGAAAAATAATAAAAAATTAATATTTAAAATGTAAAATCTATATTCAAATTCAATCGGGAAATCCAAAAACCTCTTTTTTTCAACATGAAATTTTCATATTATCATGATTCTTGAACTTGGAAAATTTGTAAAATACTACCATTTCTTGATTGCTAACTAAGATACAGAAAATAGTAATTTCATGAAAAATATAAGCCAGTCTTGATTTCTAACCAATCATTTTCGAGATGCCTTCATTCGATTTTCAAAATTTAAAGAACGAAATTAGGACGATGAAGAAAAATGATTCGTGTAAGATATATGTCAAGAAGAATCAGAAATGGAAACCTCCATCTTTTTAATCATGAGTTGCAACCCTATTCCATACTTGGGCACCAAATCTTCCATTCTCCACCCCACAACCGGATCCATCTCAAACCACCACTCCATCTGCCAAACGCCGCCGCTATCTGCCGCCGGAATAATATTCATACTTGCAACATATGACTTGAACCCAGTATCGCAGTCCACTATCTCATAGCTTTACATCCTCAAATTGATCCTTTCTGCGCACACACTGAGAGAGAGAGTGAGAGAGAGACCTAGAACAAAGGAAACAGCTCTCATTCAACCATGTTTAATTGGGTTTGATGGTCTTTCTCTCCAATCAACAGAAGTCTCTTCAAAAATATTTTCTCCCTTGTCCTCTTGTTTTCTTGTATCTCCATATCCTAAACCTTTCACACACACACACACACACACACAGTGATACCTTCTAAGCAAAGTATTCTTCAGATCCCTTTACAACTCTATATGTTTCTGTAAAAAGATGTGTTAATTTTCTTACTGAATTTGAGAGAAACAGCCCCTCTATTTATATATACTCTCATACACCTCACTTAACGGTCTCTTTTGGATATTGTAACCAATGGGCACCACACCCAGAAATTCAACATCAAATTATTCACGTTTCTGTCGCATTACACCATATAGCACAGAGAAAGCTGCCTCCGTTTTTTTCCAGATTCTAAATTATTTGATAATGGAATTCAAGTAAACACAACATAAATGGCCTCAAACGGTGGCTTAATTGCTATTGGCCATTCGGCTGCCTCTGTATTTTTCCAGATTCTAAATTATTAGATAATGGAATTCAAGTAGACACAACATAAATGGCCACAAATGGTGGCTTAATTGCTATTTCACGGAAACAATAAAACTAATGGTGAATTTTTCGTTAAAACAACAAATTCCGTTTCATAGGCTCTTTTTTTATATATATATATATAAAAAAAAATACGTACCTGCTGACAGCTTGAACATCCCAACCACACCAAAGATCGTCCGAATTTTGGGAACGCGAAGGGAGCTGCAATGTAGTATCTCATCTGATGAGGAAGACAGATATAATATCCCACGTCACTGGAAGCTTCTTAGGTGGTATTCCCTGCTTTTCACGGCTACCTTTCATGGCAGATACAAGCTTCATAGGAGTCTGAGAATAGAATGTCAAGGGTGGAAAAGACCACATATGTTAATGCATTTCTCCAATATTATATACCTGAACCCTTAAATGTTCGCCATACAAGGATCATCTGTACATTTGAAACATTATTTGCTAGCACTATTCCAAATACTTGAAGGCATAGAAAGAAAGGCAAAATGGAAACTTGAAGAGCGAAAAACAGAACTTGCACTACTGGTTTAAACAAATATTCCTATTCTCAAAATTCAAAATACGCGCAAAAGCTTTACTCGCCTGGATCATCCAGAAATAGTGTTTCTGATGTAAAAAGATCAGCAAAATAATCTAATTACATTTGGTAACATCAGAAAAACACAATTAACTAAAAATATGAAGGCAGCATACAACCTCATTAATATCACATGCTAAAATGTACTTGCATCAGGTAGAATTCTTTACAAATCCTAACGATCACCCTTCACGCTAAACAAAATGGAAGAATCCCACCTATCTACACACAATTGTGCACATTACCAAACACATATGGCATACCTCATGGTCATGGTCATGGAAAAAAAAAAATACCCACTTCCCAGGAATTCATCATATGAATCATATAAATTATCAGTGAAAATCCTGTCATATCAATATAATTATCTTAAAGAGACTAACATAAACTACTTTGGATAAAAACCCGCACTCATATTCCTTTGAAGGGATCCAATTGTCAAAAGAAAATCTATTTATTAATGATTAATGAATGAATCCGACATGAGCTAGCTATTGAAAAGTAAAACTTACAAGCAAGGATATGCAACGTGAATACGAGTGATTAGCAGATTTGGCATCGCCATTCAATGATGAGACTTCAGTGGTAAAATTAAGAAATGACCCAAATTAATATATTAACTAATTGAATATTTAGTTAAGAAATTGAAACATATAGTGAACTCCACTCCCACTCCAAGGCATGTCAAATAAAGAAATGATCATAACTGGAATCTACCACAAAACAGGAAATAAAAGTTAATACATAAACTTAACCAAAAATAATAATATAAATAATTATCCCTAAATGCTTAGCTGTTGATCAACTAAAAATTAAGTTCTATTGATTCACAAATAGAATATGGATTAATCGAAAACAAAACAGAAAAGATCAACTCCAATCCAAGATTAGATAAAATCAACTAAAAATTGGCAGACTACCTAAATCACACAAACAACAGAAAAATCATAAAACCCACTCGAATTTAGCACTTCTACTCCACCACAAGCAAATGATAAAGATGGATAACTACCAAAAAAAGGTTAAGAGAGAGTCAGAGAGAGGGAAAAAATCTGTCTTGGTGGTGAGAGAAATTGCTGTAACGATAAATAAATGAACACGTTAACAGTAGATGAAAACGAACACGAAAAATACGTATGCATCTATAGATGTATCTATTCATTTTATCTCTCTTGTTTCCGATGGACAATGAATGTGTGTGAGAGAAATAGAGAGAGATTTCTTCTTGAAATGAGAGCACAAAGTTGGGGAGGATAATGGAATTCTAACAGACAAACATCAATGATGTGGCTTAATTGCTACTTAACGAAATCCGTTAAAGTTAATGGTGGAAATAGTGGAACAAGAATTTCCGTTACATAGCCACTTTATATTTAGAAGATATATTTCACTTGATTCAATAACTTATAATCTCAAAAGCAGTTGACAAACGTGGAGTTAATAAGAATGTTATTTCTTAAGTGCCAGTTTTAGCCCCCATTTTTTTTTTCTTTTTTTACTAAGAATGCATTTTGAAATAATAAATTGATGGAGAATGTGTGATTAAAAAATAAAGAAACGTTTTGAATTTGCGTGTAATATTATTAATTGAAAAGAAGAAAAAAAAATACTTTAAAAATAATAGTGATGAAACAAGGGCTAAATATTTAGGATAACGCTACTCAAACAGGGAATTGTGACAGGGAAAAGAAACAGATACACGTGGCGGCTTGTGACTTGCCTGTTTTTGTTTTACATTTTCCCATCCTCCAATGTGTTGTTGCCAACTGTATCTGTTCCCCATTCCCTGTTTTTAATCCCTGTTTGTCTAGCATGATCCAAATATTTATTCCATTTGTCAAATGGCAAACATCAACATGCAAACATGGATTAAGATACTGTTCGGTCCATGTGGTCTCATGGAATGACATTATTTAACGCAAAAAATAAAAATTATTTATGTAGCCATAGCAGTCTAGGCTAGCAGCAAAGAAAACATAAATTTAAAAAGTTATTTGTTTCGTCTGGAGGAAAGTGGCAATTTTTTTCATCATCTCAATAGCCTTGGGGTTTTCGGGATGAATCAAATTGAAAACATGGTCTTCCCCCTCAACCTCCTCAATCACTGCATCGCCACTCCAACCACTCTTTAACAACGACTCCAGATAATAAACTCCTCTGTCTTTCAAAAAATCTTTCCCAGCAACGAAAATCAACATTCTTCTGTAACCCAGGCTTGAAAGTCTTGGATCCATAGCCGGGTTCACCATCGGGTCATCCAATCCTTCGCTGTTCGGATACATGTCAAGCCAAGGTTTTTGATATAAAGTTCTCTTGATGTCGTCTTCAGCTTCATTCCCAATTGGAATCTTCCCCAAGAAATATGGATAGTTTAGGAAAACCCCACTAAGTTTGACAGGGAATTTATCATTTTCCAACCCGACCCGCATAGCCATGTTGTGTACAATGTTGGCACCAGCACTATCTCCACCCAAATACACTTCTTCAAAATTAACATTCTCGTTAAGCCAAATCTCATCCCCATTACCTTTATAGTGAGAAGCAACCCAATTGAGTGCAATCCATGAATCTTCATAAGCAATTGGAAGTAGGTTTTCGGGAGCCAATCTGTACTCAATTGACACTGCGATTACACTAGATTTGGCTACAAGTTCGTTCAAAAACCCATGGTATGTTGGCGAGAAGGCAGATTCTGTGACAAACCTACCACCTTGGATGTAGATCAAAAGAGGAAGTCTGCGATCCAAATGAAAGCCGTATCTATTAGGCGCGAAAATCCGAACGAATACATTGAGTTCGGGCGAAGTCTTAATATCTTTCGATTCGACACCAGTGATTGGATTGAGGGATGCTGGAACTCATTCAGTTCCAAAAAATCTCTCAATTCTACGATATACACGTACGAAGGGATAAATGTCGTATTCTATGTCTGTGGAATTTATGGCAGTGCGTATTAGAAGTTAATTTCAAAAAAAAAAAAAAAAGAAATTCATCGCCATTTGCAGTGAATGATCATCACAACCAGGGCCGGTCCTGTGATCGGCGGGGCCTGAGGCAAAGTCCGAAAATTGGGCCCCCGGAGATCAACGTAAACGCAAAATCCAACCGTGCATTATGCAACGTATTGCAAACTTAACACTGACGTGTAGAAAAACAAACAAATATAAAGAACAAAAGATTTATATATATTATAAAGTAACAAAACCGACAAGAGTTCAAACAATCAGTTAAATACTATTCGTCTCGCTGTTTTAGAGGCAAAAACATTAATCAAATCTGAATAATTTAATTGTTCAATCATATCTTTCTCTATTGATAGCATAGCCAATCCATTCAATTTTTCTTGTGACATAGTTGATCGGAGGTAAGTCTTGATCAACTTTAATTTGGAGAAACTTCTTTCTGCAGATGCAACTGTAACCGATATGGTTAACAAGATTTTATAAGCAATATAAGCATTTGGGAAACAAGCACCCAATGTCTTCAAATACCGTAGCACTTCAATTGCTCTCGTTGCTGCATTTGGTATATAGCACCGCATGACTAATATTTCCGAAAATAAATCATCTCCACTAATGTCCGAACGCCCATTATGTTCTAATTGTTTCTCAAGATTCATACAAGATTTCAGCAAATTCGAATGACTTTCATCCCTTAA